GTATATTATTTTGTACTTCCTTATGTTATTTGATGTGTTACATACCTGTAACAAATGTTGCGATTGTAGCCGTGACGTCTGTACCCCTGCAATTCTGTCGCAAAATAATCTAGTATTTTTTTGTATTTATAAACCCGTCCTTAGGAAGTTGTTAATTGTGGTTTTAAATGGGGTCACCACTATATGTGAAGAAGAATTACATGTATGACCTACGATTTGGCAATGTATTACAGTTTACGATAATGTCGACAGTAATTTTCCCCATAGTCATAGTGCCATCGTGAAGCAGTTCTTGTGATCTTCGGAAATTGTCCATAGAAAATTCTTTACGTCTTTGTAGAGAAAGTACAATTTGGTTGTGATTTGTGAAATATTCTATTACATTGAAGAATTCTTAACTACATGTTTTATGTTCGCTAGAAAGTCGATACTATCAGTGGTCTTAGAAAAAATTATATAAAGCCATATCTTTATCCAGAAATTGTACCCGAGGTTGACTAGGCTTGCCTGTCCCTGACCATCGATTCCTGTAGTAGTAGGAGTATATTTTGACCTACACAGGCTACGTGTGTACTTTCACTTTCTTTCTTACAAAAGTGTCAAATGCCTGTTTCATAACAACTTAACATCATTCAACTTAAAACATTTTGTGTACCCTCCCAAATGTTTGTCTGATACTCGCTGCTTTTGTTAGGTTAGAGATTTCACCTATTCATGAGCTTGAATAGTGTCCGAATTCGTAGGTCATGCTAGTTCTGACACACGTTCCACCTACAGCAAAGCAATTCTAACCACGGCGTTCCAACAGATAGATACATATTTGGCTTTCTAAGGGTTGTTCTACAGGCCCCAGCCATACTAGACATAAACCTCTTTTGACATACTAGCTACATGTATAAATCTTTCCAGTTGACCTTTCTAGTTATTGTCATCATGTAGGCAAACAAAACCAACCCCGTAAACACCCTGGCATGCACTAATTGATTTGAGCGGGCGGGCAGTACTCAACTCACCGTACGGATACCAGGCAGTCTACGATGGTCTAACTGCCAGGCTATACTGAAATGAAATACTCTTAAACTTTTTATTACAATTATAATATGGTTCTATTTCACGATTTGAAAATCTTGACGGTATATGACATAAATAAGTTTCAAACAGCCATTTTTGTCCATAAGGTGATACATAACAACTCACAATTACCAGTACAATACGAGAACTTATTCAAACTTAATTCAGATATACGTTTCATTTATGCCCTTTTCTCTTTTATACCCACAG